TGAAGCATACAACGTTATTGATCGATTGCCTTATCGTAAAATATGGATCTTATTGGTTGCAACACAAATTACATCATGTTCTCCATACATGGATCGAAACTCCACCAAAAAATCCTCTAGATTATCCAATATTAGATCTCGTCGTTCAAGAAAAGATGAAAACCACGATAGTATTGAACTTGAAAGAAGCGTATCAATGAATCTAACTTGCGATCTTGGAGTTGGATAGCTTTGGGATTGAAGTTCAATCACAAGTTACACTTGATTGATAAATCCTCGAAACTTGGATCTCGTGCCATCAAACTTCTCGGATAAGGTAATTCTTGGTTATCTAACACTGGAAGGGCGTTCCACCATAGGAGAAAGGCCATGATTTGATGCAGATGTTGAAGCAGCTCCAACCATTTCTATATCTTCACTTCCTGCCAATCTTGTTGCTCATTGTAGTGGTAAATTGAGTTGATGCATCACAAGCATTAACTCCCTCAATTGCTCTTGCATTTGTGCCATTGCACTCTTCATTTCAAGAAGTTTTGCCATGATAACATTTAGAAAAGAGAAGATGTCTAATATCGCTCAAGATAAATAGAAGAGAGGACTTGAGAACAAAGAAAATACTAAGGACAATATCAATTTAGAAGAGGGTAATCCATAACTTCTAATATGCTTATATCTTATCAAGAAAAAAGGGTAATCCACTCTTAACCAATATTAGACAAAGCTTTGATATTATAGGTGTACTCTTGTCAATCTGTCAAGGACAAGAACTCAATGAAAAAGTAATTCAGACAAGTGAGCCTTCACTCAAAGAAAAGTAACAAAATATAAATAAACAAGTATGTATATTGAAAGAGAAATTGGAATGGCTATTGCCAAAAGACAAAAAAACTAAAGATCCTTGAAGCTAGACTGGAAGCAAGAAAGGAGTTGATAAGAGTGAAAAAGGCTTCACTCTTGTCTCTATATATATTATCTAATTAAGGACTACGTGGCGACGTTCTATAATACCTCCAATAAGTGTTGACTTTGTAAGACACATGCCTTGACTTACAAGGCAAGTTTTTCTACATGTGGGCCACATTGTTAGCTTGGTCTTCAAGTTAACAACATGTGTGGCACATGACCAACTTGTTGACTACGTTTTTAATCCAAAAAATCAATTAAAGACACCTATAAAGTCAAAGCAACGTCTATGAAGCTTCTAGGAAGCTTTTATACTAAATACTATAGAATTAACTTACTTTTATCTACTTTTACTTACTTCTACATATTTATATATGTAATTATTGGCTTACATGAGTATGTCCATGACAACAAGTGTACTATATATGAAAAAAGAGACTCAAAATGGGCCAACCTCCTTGTTTAATAATTCTACACCGCAATTCATGACATATTCTCTCACTTTTTGGTAATTCCTTAAAAGTAAACCTCCTAATAATTTATCACTGTGGGATAGAGTGATGACTTGGGGATTGAATTGAGTGCACTATTCTTCTTTCTTCTTCCTTTTTATTATATAACATAACATTATACATGTCCTTGTAATAAAGATTTGCAAAAACGTCGTTACCTAAACCTCCGCCACGTATTCTCTTCGATAGTTGTTTCATAAGGACATAAAACCCTGAAGCTTCGCCGGAATCCCGCAGCACCAGTACTTCATATCGACATGGACGGGTTACGACGTTCTCTAGGCCAGCTCGACAGAAACTGGTGCTCCAATCTCTCGTCAGCTCTGGCATCCTTGTAGCACGCGGACCCACCCCCTAGATACGAACGAGAAGAGCTCTGTTCGTTGCATTTGGATGCTCCGCTGTCCTTTGGAACCTCCAATAGTCTACTGCAGTGCGCATCCAAACAGGATCTAAGCACTCTGTAACTACTTTCCGATGCATGTGCACTTTTTCTCCGTCCTGAGATGAGCACATCCTTTCTAAATTCGTCGCGTCTCCTTTCGCAGAACCCTCAGCGGGTTCCCTTTCAGAATAATTCTCCTCCAAGTGTCGGAAAGAACCTGTCGAAGGTGTCCATGGAAAGTATCTCCGTGTTTCATTCAGATGTTCATTTTCGAATAGAATCTGAAAGAAAAAAGAAAAGAAAGACGTTAAAAGAGTGCCCTCTCCAACAAGACCTCCTCCATCTCGGGATCATTCATGCTACAGCTCTGGATCCTACACTGACGTATTGTTTGTTTCTGTTTCCCTGCAATCTACACATGTCATGTATAGCACAGTCTCGTCTTTCATATTATTGTGCGGAGGTGTTAAGAATGCAGTTACGCTTGTTTCAAGTCCCTGAGCTGGGTAGAGTTTGAGATATAGAGAAATTGGAGGTGTTGCAGGATCTTGCGTAATTTTGCGAATTCTTTGTTGGTTGGTTTGTTTCCTGGCCGAGTGGCAAGGAGTCCGGTTGATTTGAGTTTTGAGGACAGAGGATTTAGGAATTTAATCTGTAAGTGAGGTTTGATGAGCGTGTGTGTGTGTTGTGAGTTTAAGCGATGAATTGGTAGTGAATCAGGGTTGATCGATCTGGTGAATTAGGGCTGAGGTGCTGGATTGTGAGCCTTTTAGGGTTCATATTCGAAGAGCGTGATTGGAATGTGCAAGTACACGGAGCTGGGCCGTTACTGAGGCCTGTTTGAGAAATTGTTTGACTGTTTTGGGAGATTTTAGGAACAGTGAGTTTGTTCTGATCAAGCTGTTTTCCAGTTTTCGCTGCTCTAGTTGCTACAAGATTTGTTTGACCAGGTTTTAGTGTTTAGGGTTTTAGCAACTGTGGCTGTGAGGACGTCACGGTTGAACCATCGGTTTTTGTTAGGACAGCGTTTTTGGTGAGCTGTTTTTGAAGACATTGTCATTTATTCTTTTCAGATGCTATAAAACCCAGGTGAATGTAAAGGTCTATCTCAATAGAAGCGTAGAAAGAGTCTTGTTCCTGTGCGATAGGAAGCGTTTCTGTGAGTAGAATGTGTTCATAGAGTTGTGACGATCATCCAAAATCAAGGTTTTTTTTCGTTTTTGTTTGTTTGTTTGTTTGTTTGTTTGTTGGGTAGACTAGAGTATGAAAGGTTGTGATACATGCTTTATTGAGGAACATCCATCATTTTCATTATCTTGTAAGCATTACTTGGTTTCTTGGAAAATAATTTTTCTTTAATTTTTCAAAAGAAAGGCGTATTTGATAAGCAATCGGCTATTTAATATTCTGTTCAATCTTGATCTATAACTCTTGTGTGATTATGGACGGTTGTGTGCACTATTCTAATAACACAAATTAACTTAAGTCATTTGACATTGTAAGTCTGCACAATACATTTTTAGCTAACTTTAACTTTATAAGCACGAAGATCACTACTAATTTTTTACTTTTTGTTCAATCAAATCTAGTTCTTAACTTAATACATTAACTTGGTTATTTAATTCAAACTTATGGTGTTTGCACCGTATATGGATGTATGTATGTATGTATGTATGTATGTGTATTTTTATTTTTTAAAATTAGATATAAATAGATATTACATATGAAAAATATATAAGAATATGATAAACAAATTGATATTAACAAACTAAAAAAGTAAGTGAGCATAAACTTTTATGGAGTATATATTATCATGAGCCTTTAAGATTCTAAATTCAAAATTGATGCTAATATTATTCTAAAAATATATATATATATATATATATATATATATCTTGCATTTGAACAAGTTAACCCCAAATGAAAAATACTAATTATGCATGTGTGTTATTATACTTGCAAAATATATATATTTCTTTTAAATGTTAAAAAAAGTATTAAAATTTTATTCTATTAAAAATAGAATAGAATAAATATTATCATTATTATTAATTTTTATTAATCAAATTATTAAAAGTATGTTTTTCAGTTTTTCAAAGTGAATGATGCCAACACACTAATGAATAATGGCTCATTTTTCATATTGATATGTATGTACACACATGCATACGCACTCTACAACTTTACACAGATTGATACACATATATTCCAATTATTCTTTGAGCGCATGTCAATAAAAGTGCACTGGGTATCTTCAAGTCAAGTGGAATTTGTGACAAAACATACCGGTAAATGTGACCAATCCAACACAGATGATATGCTTGGTCCAGAAGCTATGATCGACGGGAGTACCGACATATATTGGCCGACACGGTCAGCAGCAAAGTGTGAAGCTCATATGCAGGCTATTTGTGGAAACTCCATCTTCTTTAGTATTCTTATGATCCAATCGTCCCAGAGTGGTACATTTCAGTCCAAAGCTCCCACGACTAGGGCTGCATTTGATGGACCTTGGTTTCATGTCAATGCACAAATTCCTCCAACATGAGAATAAGCTCCATTTACTACCGATTACCTGGCCAAATATAGAATCTAACGACATGATCAGGATTGGTGCTGATCTTATTAATTCTCATCTACCGTATGACCCGCTGACAAGCGGTACTGTTACTTGAAAGGACCACCGCCAATTGCGCAATTTGTCATATCACTGACGAGCTCTTCCGTTCAGTGCAGACTGCACAACTTGTACAAAGTGAAAGGAGACGGTTGCTACTTAACTCATACAACACTAGTGTATTTACTTACGATGCACATGCGGTCCTTCCTTGAAGCTCTGCTGTAGATGTGACGTGACCTCTTCATTGCCGAAAGGGATTTTCTTCAGCGGTACCGATTCGTCCATGGAGTGTTAGGAAATTAGGTACTAGCAAACATGACAAACCACCAATGGAGCCGAAGTCACGTTGAACGGCTCTCCACAGCTGGAGAATTGAGACGGGACTAGTCGATTGCCTTCAGGACAGTCCGTGTTCACATACCACGAACGCTGGTTGACAGGCCTCGATGATGCATTGTGGCCCTGGTCAGCTACATATCAAATTTTCTCACCCACTATACTATTAAACCAAACTTCTGTGCATATTGTGTATTCGACTGCATCATACAGGTGCGGATGCGTCACCATAGTTTGCCTGCAACTATGCTGCGGCGACAATTTCACGCTCTGCGTCTCTCTTCCATTTCAAGCGCAAAAGAAAGAAGCACGCAACGATGAAAACCCAGTAGGATATGTAGGAGACCAACGTCCCCACCGTCCCCTCGTTACGCCACCCCACAACAGCGTTCAAGATTTTCCAGATGCCGCTGTCGTCTTGGCTGCAGCAGTTCATTTTCCAGATGAAATGCTCATTGTCCGTGTACTCCTCCAGCTCATGAACGGACCCAGCGAAAAGGCCAGCGGAGATTAAGAGAAGCAATGCAGTTGAAAACAGAAGGAACCATTTGAAGCCCACCGAACTGCAACCTTTGAACAGCAGCCAACCGACTAAAATCCCGCACAAAGCTCCCACCACGGCAGGAATTGGAAGTGCTGTACCGGAATCATTCAATCCGATGCCGCCTAGAAAGATAACCGCCTCGCACCCTTCTCGCAAGACAATGCTCAGCGGCAGTAGAACGAGCGCGTAACGACTCCTCCTTCGTTGCACTCCTATCCCGGCTTGTTGCTCCTCCAAGGTGTCTTCCGTTACCTTGGTGAGCTTCTTCTCCCACTTGGCCCTCCATGTGTCTACTCGCACCATGGAGAATGCCATCAGTGTGATGAGCACCACTGCGATGAGGCCTAGAATGCCCTCCCACAGAGGTTCTGAGCTCGCCCAAGCGTCCTTGGCCACCGTGTAGTACAATGATAGGAAAACAGCCGCGGCTATAAACGAAAGCAACACTCCCCCGACCACCCCTGACCACACCTGCCACTTCATCCTTCGTCGCACCCGCTCATTCTCCACCATCCTGTCCAAGAGAGCCATCATCACGGACAAGATGATCGCCGCCTCCAAAGTCTCCCGGAACAAGATGAAAAACGCTGGGACGCTGAAAAGCTGCACCATCTTGCCTCAACTTGACTGCACGCACCTCCGATCGACTTCCCTCACTCCGTTTCTCACAACCTGCAGAACAGTTTATGACGTTCAGCGGCACGGGGAATGACGCAACAGAACGAGTGCGTCATAGACTGAAGTGGCTATCCGTCTTTATATACTCACCGTAGAAGCGCCCTGAAAGCAGCTACCGAAAGGTCTACCGGAAGGTGTGCAGAAGGCCCTTCTCATTCGAGACCGCCGTGGTATCGGCGTTGACGAAAGAGGATCAGTTCTGCGAGCGGATCAACGGCTGCAACACTCAAGCATTCTGCACTCGCCTCCGGCACATGCCCCCCGCGCTGAAGCACACGCTCAGCCTGTGCCGCGCACTCTTCCAACCTCCCACATCAGCTCCGCAACAGACACCTCGTCGACAAAAAATGCCCCCTCCTCCGCCCTCCTCCTCCGCACGCAGCAACAACAGCCTCCATTAAACTCCAAATCCTCCCTGCTAGCGAGCAACACAGCCCCAACTCCCCGCATCAGCTCACACCACCACGGATCACTCACTCGATCAGTACCTGTGGTCCCAGCAGGTAGCGCCGCGGCACTGATCCATCAGCAACCTGGCGAATTGGTCAGGGGTCACTGACTGCGGAGTACCGTGGATTAGAATCATGTGCGGCGCGTTCCAAGGGAGTGGAGGTGTACGTCTCCTCCATTAGCGATTGTTAGCTTGTTGGGATCAAGCTCGTCGCCGTGATCACCACCGCGCGGCGTGGTCGTCCCGCGACGCTCCCAAGCAGCGATCAGCGAGCGCTGCTGGCTGGTAACTCGTGACGAGCCCTGGTGCGTGTCGCCGCTGCCGCGGCCGTGACGCGCCATGACGTGACGCAGCTGCGCGTCACCCTGCACACACGCCTACGTTAATATCCAATCAGTGGTGCTGATGGTTTGGTTATTAGGAGTGTGTGGGGTGTGTGAAGTTGCCATTTAGTGGGTGAATTAAATATTATTTATTTTTCTAATTCATGCGTGCGGGATTGATATTTGGATGCACTACTGAAGTGTCTCTATGTACTAACACATGTGAGATTGAAGTTTTTTTTTTTTTTTTTTTTTTCTTCAGATTTGGTAAAAAAATTCCTTGTTTGATTGATGGAAGTTGGGAGGCTGTTTTACTAAGTGATTATTTCAATTTGCTATCAGTGGTGCAAGCAGTGGACATGATGATGGAGATGACACCGTTATAATGACAGGACTGTCTGCGTAGCATTTTTAAAGATATTTTTTGCATGTTTGTTTTAATGATGGTTTGAAAAATGATTCTGATATGGTAATATTCTATTTTTGGTCGACAAGAATATCAAATATGAGTATGCTTTAAGATTTCGTAATTTCATTATCTCTCTCCCTCTCACTCTCCTTGAGTCTGTGTGTGGTTGTATTTTAATTCAAGCATTTTGATTCATTAAAAAAAATTAAATTAAAGAACCCCATGAAACCCATGGAACATATAAAACATGAAAAAAAATCAAAAATCAAAAAACGAAAATCAAAATCTTAATCAAATTGAAAAAAAATAATCATTTCATTATTATTATTATTATTATTAATAATAATTTCATTCTTTGTTTTAGTTGCATTAACTGTATGATCTTCAAAGTTATTCAGTGTTTTCTCAAGTAGTTATTTAGAAAGGTTGTAATATATACTACAATACATAATTTGTGAAAGATATATTAGATTTTGTCATTTCTCACATTAGGAAATTTATTTTTGATATGATTTTAATTGAATTATTTTTAGTTTAATTTTAGTGTAATATTTCTTATGGGATGATAACATGTGTTTTTAAACCTGTAAATTATCACACAAAAGAAAATAAAATGAGTTCAAAAACTTTTATGCTCATAGAAACTAACCATGTTCCACTTTTTCTAGGAATGGACATCTAAATAAAGAACTGTATTGAATATTTAAACATAAGTTGTATGAGCACTTTTCAATTTAAAAGTCTTTGAATATGCTTATGCAAAGCACTGTATTCATATTTGACTTATTCAATACATCAATAATCACTGGAATTTGTTTGTTTATAAACAAATTGTATAATTCTATGTTATTGAAACAACTTTTTATTAACATCTTTTTTATCTTTTTTATCTTCCTTTTTTTTTTTTTTTTTTTTTCGAGTTTAGCAATGTTCATGACTTTAATGCAATGTACATACATACATACAATATGTAAACATATATACATATATATATATATATATATATACAAACACATACACAAAGACATATTTGCTCACAAACATTCATTCAGATGTATATATAATGTATGTTTTTTGAGAATAAGACATTAAATTTTGGGTCTTAAAAATACCCATTAACTTGCTCAATGAAAACCAACCTCATTTCTATAGTTTGTGTGCATAGGAAAGTGTGCTACACAGTGCAAAACAAAAAAAGCACTGACAATATCAATTGAATCACATAACGCATGGACTGAAAAAGAATGCAACCATCAACGCCACATCTACTTACACCAATTATCAAACAAATCCTGTCCATACTATGCATGGGATACATTTTTCACCAGCACAAGATTGACTTGCACTAGAAGAAAATGATCCCTCACACAAACAAAAACACACAGTACCCCAAATGGACAAATAGAAGTGCAGATGAAGTGCCACCTCACTCCCACCCTCCATGTCCAAATCCTAACACACCCCTGGAACACTCTTTTCTGTTCGATTTGATATTTTGTACATTTGTTTCAGTATTCTAGAAACCGAACTAATTCAAGGCAGAGTCCTCCACAACCCCATTTTCTCATTCAATACACAACTGTGCAGATGCTCCTTCTCTTCCATTAGCTACTGCAGAGGGAAAGAACTTGGGAAGGTAAGTAGGTACATTGGGAGGGAGGTGGTTGCAGGGGACGATGAGAAGCTGTGTGTCTCTTGAAAGCATCGAAAGATGGCAGTGCAGAGTTGTGATGGAGACCAGGACGAGCAAACAACAGGCACCCAGCATAGCACTGCGCCAGTGCTGGGAGGTTCGAGCAAGAGTACAAGCATAACACAACACAACACACCAGAACACACAGCACAGGAGATGAGATGAGAGGAGAGGAGGGACCACCATGGCCGTCTCGGGAGTCTCATGGCCCTCACGGGAGTCTCATGGCTCTCCCTGTCACGTCCTACATCAGACAAATAGGAGCTGTGCAAAAGCCCCCCTCCCTTGCGCTGCGCCCATCGTCGTCGCGTCCGTTACAGTCCCGGTGCGCAAGATAAGGGGTACTGCTGCTTTGGTCTATCAGCTCCTCCTCTTCCCGAAGCAGCAGGCAGTGGAAGAAGAAGAGGAAGACGACGATGGCTTGTGTCGAACTGGGCCCCTCCGCCCTTCAGTTGCTTACCATCGCTGCCGCCGGAACAGTGCACAGGATCTTCCCACAACCGCATGATCTCGATCCCCATGCTTCATTGTGTGACAGACTGATTCACTGTCAGTGATCGATCGATCGAGGTATCTAGCATGGAAGGATTGGATGGGAGCGGCGGCGCCGACTGGAGCCTCGACGGATCTCATTCCGATTCATCTCTTGTTTCAGAGTAGCAGTTGTTGTTGCGGTGGGTTACTTAATGCAGCGATTATGTCACAACAATTCAGTTTTCTATTATAACATAACGTAGGATAAAATTGTAGTAGAGATGGTGCTGAAGACTGTTTAAGGATTGACTGAAGTTGTTTCATTCTAGGAATCTTTTATCAGGGGTTTCAGAGTACGACGATGTAGTGGATTATTTTATTTTATTTTATTTTTGAAAATCGAGAAGTCAATAAGAGATTGCCAACACACACTTCATTAGTAAGCATAATTTGTCAATTGGATAGGAGGATGATGGCTCATAATTTTAGGAGAACATTTATTAAAGACTTGAAGGGTTCAAGTTGATAAGTTCTACTTAAAGCTATTATCATCTTCTACTTAAAGTACTACAAGAACTAGATGTAAACCGATATAAGCAAGAGGCAATTGCTATATGAGTTGAAGCTATTTTGTTCTGAAGGGAATGTTCATTACACTTTTAAATTTATGTATGAAGTGCTTTAAATTATTTTGCCCTTGATTCAATCAACTTTAGCTACTATGATTTTGGATGTTTTTTATTTTGTAAAAATTTGTAAGTACTGGGTAGTGTGAGTAGTTAAGAGTGATTGAACTCTGGAAAGGTTGTAGAGATTGCAAATTCTTAGTGTAAATAGTAGTTTTTTGTCATATATACCATTTTTGGTTTTTTTGCAAGCAACCATATTCTTTTCTTTTTGGTTTTAGAGTTGGTTGTGATCAATTGTTTTGCAAGCATCATCATAATTAATTAATATATAAAGAACCAAGAATGCATTTCATACAAAGCTCACTATAGCTATGATATATTGTTATATAAGTACTATTATTTTTAATTCATGTGAAAAAAGCCATTAGTGCATTGCATAGAAAAATATTATTTTTTGTAATCAATTGCTATTTAAATGCTATCATCATTATTTTATGTATGAAGAGTCATTTGAATATTTGAATATTGCATGCTAAGCTCAAAACAATTGTAATTGTTGCTTAATGTGTGAGTGCCATTGTTCTTGATTAAAGTGTAAAGGATCATTGGTGCATTATATACAAAGCTTTTTTAACTTATGATTGATTGTTATAATTGTCATTGTAATCAATTTATGTATAAAGGGTTGTTGGTGCATTACATGCACATATGTCTTTCTTTGTGAGCAATTGTTACATTATTATTCACAAAAAATATTAGTTATTAATAAAGGCCTTTATCAATAAAACATTGTTTTTTTTTTTAACAACAATTAATGCCATTACATCATATTTGGGCCCTTATTATTAGTTGCAACTTAAATATATTCTTACACTAACTCTAATATGTTTGATATTCTTGTCATTGATGTACTCAATGGCTTATAAATGTTTATGAGTTTGATTGTATAGTATATATTGACCTTGTTACAAAAATCATCATCAATTTACATAATATAAATGTATTAAGTGTAATGTGTATTGTATAATATAAAAGTTGAAGCAATCTTGTTTTCTGAATTTTAAGTTATTTTAAATACCATATATTTTTGTAGATAAATCAATTGAAATATTTTATCTTAATGCTTTCAACTCCAAATAATTTATAATGTATATATTTTTTTAAATTTAAATTTTCTAAATTAATAATTTAAAATTTTTTAAAATTTTTTAAAAAATAGATTCTATCAAAATTTTAAATTTTAACTAATAATAAATTAAATTTTATTATCAATTATTAAAATTAAAATTTTATATTTAACTTATAAAATTTTAAGAAATTATTTTAGACTATTAATAATATATTAATATATATTTTTTACATATTATTAATTGAAGTATGTAAAAATATTATTTCTTTTGATATATATATATATATATATATATATATAATAATAAGATTAATATATCTTAATTTTTTATATAATTAGAAAATATAATAAAATATTTATTATATAGTTCATAAGATAAAAATACTAATTAGTATAAAATAATTAAATACAAAACAATTATATGCATGTATATTAAATTACTAGCTTCAAATAAAAATAGATTTGTATTACTATTCAAAATGAATAAGTCCAATGACTCAAGGACAACTAAAGACTCAAGAGCAATAATTGAATAAAGATAAGAGAAACAATCATAGTACCACCACTAAACCTGGAGACAAAACTTGATCTTGAGCTAAGAAAGTAGAATACTTAAAGATTGGATAGTCATTGCATTAAGCCATTGTAAAAAAAATGTAAAGAATATGATAGTAGTGGTTATAGTCAAACTTGGAATAGAGTAGCACTGGATCAAAAACCATATAATTTTGAAGTATATACTATAAACATAGTTTATTATTGAATTGGTGTGTATATTTCTAGTTCTAAACACTTTATAGTATTTTGTCATGTGATTGCTTGTTATTCCAATAGCTCAAGTAACACTTTGATGAAATTTCGTTTAAATAAAATATTAATTATATTCTATAGATTATAAATAATAATAATAATAATATAATTAGTACTTATATGTTTTGAATAGCATAAATAAAATCTTTTTATATATATCATTATATTATTAAATAATTTTAGTCCTTAAGTACTATATTTTATTATAAAATACAAGATTTTTTTAAAGAACATAATATGCTTTGTTTTATATTTTTGTTTTATTTTTTTATTATAATGATTTTTTTGTGTAATATAATAAATATTGTAAGATATATATTTTATATAAACTACTTATTTTTTATCCTTCTATCTAAGTTGATCTACATTTTGAATAGACACTAATTTTATAATTTTTTTAAAAATATATATATTACTCAAAATACATTTTTTATAACATACATCCATAGCATAATATGTTTTTTAAAAAATATATTTTTAAGATCATATAATTTTAGTAAGATAAAACTAATATTTAATAAGTATCTAAATATCTAAATAATGTTGTTTTATTTTAATAATTCAATTTAAAATATATTAAATGCTATAATATTTTTTAAAATGGATATTCTTTTTTGGAAAGTATTATAATTTTTTTGCTAGTGTTGAAGATCCTTGCTTTGATTTAAGAATGATAAGGTAAAAAAATATCAAAACTATTGCTTATGAGAGATTAATTTCAACTAAAGCTTACATTGGGCAACAAGTATCAAGTTAGAAGAATAGTTGTTTGTTAGAACTTTTAAAATCTATTGGTTTTTGTTAAAAATTACTCAATTTTTATTTAATTGCCTCAGCATTTTACTTTGGAGAATCAAAATGACTTGTGAAAGAGGACCTTTACCTTTGTACAACATGAATTTATTTTCTACATAATCAAACACTTCTTACTTTAATAAAGAAGTGTCATTTTGAATATGTATTTAATGTTAAGCTATCCTTAATAAATCACAAATATGATATTATATGGTTAAAGCATAAGTACAATTTTAGTTTTAACATAGTTTTAGATTAATTTTAATTTTACATAAGTTCTATATGCATGAATTATTTTTATTTTTTAACAATATTTTAATTATAGTGTCTTTATTCATACTGTGTGTGTATATATATTTATATATTTATTTGAATCAATTTAAAATAGTTTTTGTGGTCCTGTGCTTTTTGAGGAATATTTTTAGAAAAAATGTATTTTTAGATCATTAACTTAGTGTAAATGTCATCTAATATTACAATAGAATAATAAATTTTACTACCATAAAAAAAACCACTAATCTATCACAAACGCAGCAATTAGCATAATCTCCGCAACAAAATCAAAACAGAAAGGCATGAGGCAGGTGGTGCTAATCAGAGAGGGTGACAGCACCCACCTGGTACCAGCCCTTATCAGAACGCCGCTGCGTGGATTGTTGAACCTTCCGTTACCGCCCATGCGATAATTAGTTACAACCGTTTCTCCCAATGATGATGAGAATATGGAACAAGCTTTAGAGCAGTGACCCATGACCTTGGCAAAACAACCAAACAAACAAACCCACTAACAGAAACTGCACAAACGTCTTCGAAATGTATGCATTGAGTCGAAAGCGCCAACCTTGATGATGCTTGCGATGGGAAAGAATGCGGCGACGACGATCAGGTTGCGAATGGAACTGGGTGATCTTTTAGCAGCAGGAATGTGTGGATCGACGCATGACTCCGCTGTGTGTGATTCTTCAAGTGCTTAGAAGGCTAGATCCCTGTTTCCGATCCAATGTCGAATAGTTCTGTAGTTGGAGCTCCCGATGGTGATGAATTTAGCGTTGGGGGCCATCTTTGTGCGATGTGCTCACTTGTTGATGAGGATTTGCCTCCAACACTGGGCCGTCTCCTCTTGACCTAATTCTCTCTGATACTGTGGTCGTGTTTCCGGTTTCCGGTGTGAAGCGAGCGTTCTTCCTGTGTTCCACTTTGGAAAGGTAAAGACAACGAACGATGTATGTGAGATGGTGAGAAATAGCACCCGTGGTAGCGATGGTGATGTAGGACGAGAAGAAGAGCTCGGGAGGCAGCCTAGAGTGGGTGGCGGGCATTCGACTGCCAGCATCAAACTTGCAGAGCCGCTGGTCAGAAGAGCTGAAGGTCCGAGTTCTAATGGAAGTCAGAACTGGGCAAACGGTAGATCGGGCAATGAAGTACGTATCGTTAGTAGCAAAGGTGGTACGAACGTTGGCGCAAAGCCTGTTCCTCGAGGATCAAGCTCCTTCATGGGCAGCAACCGATTCGATGCTTCCAAAAAGAATCCTGATGTTTCCAAACCCGTGGTGTACACTTTCAGAGAACGGAGTACTGATCCTTCGAGATTGTCGAGCATCAAAACAATCAAGGATCACAATGGTGCCGGCCCAATAGATAACGTTTTTAAAATTTTGAGCAATTCAAACAGAAATAATCATGGGGAGATCATTTCAAAAACCTCGAAAGCTGCACTTGTGGAGGACCGCGTTAGTGTAGCCCTCGATTATTGCACTTCGAACCGCTTGAATAATCCTCCAAGCTCAAAACCAAGCCAAGGCTCATCAATGGCGAATAGAAACAGCACCCGTGCAACGAGAGGCACCTCCCAACTCCATCGCAATAACACTGGTGATATCGCTAAAGAGCAGCAGCGGCAACAGTGTCCAGGTCTTGCGCTTTGCTGCAACCCCAAGGAAAACAATACTGTGAATAAGCAGGAAAATTGTGAATCGGGTAAAGCTTCATTTTTACAGAAGATGTACGCAGATTCATGGATCGCAAAAGCGCTCGTTAACTGATGTAATGGTTGTGCCATGATTGAATGATTGGGTCCATTTCTTGAAACCTGTATCTTTTGAATTAAGTACTCTTTCTAAGTAACAAAGTTTGAGAGTCTGGATCTGAAGTTGATGCAGATCAACCCATCTCGCGTCACGTCAAGGGGCCAACCAAAACGGACTTGCAAGTCGTCGACGGAGAATTTTCGTCATCACAACAACCTTCAGATGAATCGCAAACGAAATTTACTCCACCGCAGCCGCCCCAAGAAGTTCGAGGACGTTCTCCATCCCAAGATTACGTATTGCAGGAGTGGATGCATGGTCCTTCAAGTCCTACCGGCCAACTTGTTAACGTCTCGGACCGACCGAGTTTGTGTATGAGTGTGCGAGGCAATGAAGCATGCATAGGTTCATCAGATCATGCACTGTACATCGTTGACTGTGAGAAATGTACCTTAAAACGATCACTCTATGGAAAACAGTATGGCCACACCGAGTGGGTTACATGCTGCGACTATCTGAAAGACGGACGGATTCTTAGTGGTGGCATGGATGGGAAACTGTGCCTCTGGGATAAGAACGGAATACGAACAATTGACCTCCTGGGTCACATGGCATCAATATCTGCAGTAAGATCTGGAGCAGAAGGCTCACTAGCTATAAGTGCAAGTTATGACAAGACTTTGATGCTATGGAATGTCAACCGTTCGCAAACAAAGAATGCAGCATGCCTCAAAGGGCACAAAGCTCCGGTGCTTGGGTTTTGCCTGAGCTCCCAGGGGGCCATTGTGAGCGGCTCACGTGATGGTGATGTCATCCTCTGGGACACTGCACACGCCACACCCCTCCTCCATGTGAGCAGTGCTCACAAGGGCCATGTAACTGCAGTCGAGTGCCTGGAGGACACCAAAAATAAAACTTGGGAGGAATGCCGAGAGATGTACCTGACCGGCGGCCAAGATGGAATTCTCCGAGCTTGGGATTTCCGAACGCGAGGGCCTGTACACTCGGCGGTGCTGCATAGAAATGCAGTTACAAAAGGCGCTGTCAACAGCATCGCTGTGTCTTATACTGCCTGTGGAAGTGGACCAATTGTTGTGACAGCTGGTGCAGACAACTCGATGAAAGTCTTAGAGCCACGCATGGGATTCAAGGCCCTTCACACAATCTGCACCCATCGCGACTTCATCTACAGTTTGTATGTAGCTGGGCCATTGGTGTGGAGTGGTAGCGGGGATGGGTCATTGTTGGTGCATGAGCTGCTCACGGGCCAATGCTTGTACGGTCTGGGGGCTGACTCCAAAGGTGCAGTGAGGTGTATATCTCTCGCTGGTCCTGACCGCCTTGTTGTAGCAGGGGACGATGGAAATGTGATGATATACAAAGTCTCGAGCTGTGATTCAAAGACAATACTTCCCACAGAACACTTTCAATCATAAATACAGCCAAAGCATTCATAAACTCGTGGAATTTAGGCCCATTATCCCCTTGAGGTACTCTCGCAAAGGCCCCAATTCATGGCTCTAAGATACTGCACAAGGTACCCACCATCCTTTTAGGGGTAATCACTTTAACTCCGAAAACTTCTGCATCGTAAAATTCGGAGTTCACACTGTTGAACCACAGTCTGGAATTGAATGAGGTAGACTCTAAAAGTGCCAAAAACAAAATCCCAACCTGAATTTTTTCTACCTAACACAGAGATCAATATGCAAAGACTGCACACAGCATCATACACACACCCTCCAAATGCTCACAGGTGATGATTCTTTAACTGTAGCAAGTTTGGTGAGTATCTTGCTGATTCATGTATACGAAATCACCCTACCGTGAACCTATGAACCTCTTAACAAACTAATCAGACACGAGCTGGACAATACGGTCGTGAAGAATGCCTCCATTAGACGCAAGAATAGAGCCAGCAGTCAGTGGTAAAACGTTCCCATTCATGTCGGTCACTTTGCCTCCAGCTTCCTGCACAATACAAAGCATTTCGCTAAGGAGTGGAAAATGTACACACACATTCTGAAACAAGAGTAACATGTCTAACCTCAAGATGAAACGATTAATTTATCATCAACAAGAAACTCGTAACATGTCTGACCTCCACGATCAGTCTTGCAGCTGCGACATCCCAAGGCTGCACATTATATGATAAAAACAATATCAGCATCAGCTATTGACAGCAGTAATCTGGGCCAGCCATATACTACCAGCTCTCAAGACAGCCTTTCATGCCGTTTAATGACTTGATACAGCTCTTGCTCAACAGTTATTAGAGTCGGTAAACTCATTTCTAAAAGAAAAATCAAATACCGGATGCACATCTATTAATTGCAGAATGGACCACCTAAATTGAAGTTTCAAAACTGTCCACCAAGTCCCCGACATGGCATGGTTGTTTAACCCATACTCAGAAGTGAGGACTACAAATATTGGGCCAGTAAAGACAAGGGTACACGAATGACCTTAAGATTATGCTCAAAAAAGCAACCTATACGACCAGCTCCAACATAGCTCATATGCAGTGCCTGAAAGATGATCGATTCCAATCAACGCACTTCAATTTTAAGAAGAAAATAGGGAGTACCACAAGCAACCCAAACTAACTCTCCTTATCGTATTACGCAAACTTCACTTTAACAAACAAACAAACAAACGAATAAACGAAAGAAAAACAAACAAAGAAAAGAACGCTCTTTAAGAGAAGGAGCGGAGCGGAACACATACAGCAGTTCCCAATGCACGAACCGAGCGTGCATTTGGTGCCACTTTTCCTATGTCCTCCAGCATCCGTAATCGCCATTCAGGCTGTCACAAACATTGTCAATTGATACAACTTGAAAATCTCGGAAGATAAAGATGCTCATGAGTTATTCGTGAATACGAACGCACACACTCTGCAAGAATACAAGACCCACAAACTACACAAGGGTAAGTTCATCAGATCTGGCTTAGTGTGACCTCGAACTGAAAAATAAGGAAATAAAATACCATACACAAGAATTTTGAACAAGTACCTTAGATGGAAAGCCTACAGACACAGTCGAATCCTCCAATTCTGTATCATGAGGCAAAACCTTTATGGGCATGCCATTTAAATAAGCCCCTGCCAATAGGAATGAATGGATTTCTTAGAAGTTGATCTAGGGAAGAGAGGGGAAGAAGAATTTTATATTTGTAATCGAAGTTCTAAAAAAACTATAAAAATAAAATAAAATGCAACAGTTCACGTAGGAATAGAGACCATAGTAACAAACGTGATGCTTTCTGCATCTGACTCGTACAGTTACCAGACAATACATGGGCGGATTATAAGGAAATATGCCACATACGTGTTTCGGTGGTGTCGAAGAGTTTGAAAAGATCAATCTATCAGACTATGATCAGCTTAAAAAGGCTACAGATGGATTCTGAAACTAAGACTGAGAATACTCTTGTAACCTTCCTATAACTGCATGCTCCATGACCGTGGTCTCGTGGAAATACCTTGACCTCTTCTAGCATAAAACAACTCGTTGTTGAAGGGGTTGTAGACAACTCCTATTTCCATGTTCTGACCAAGAGCAACACCAATCGATACAACTGACAACGGCATGCCTGCAACCTGCCACCATCGCCAGAGCGAATCTTAGTTCGAAAAGCACAAAGCTAGGGCGATACTTGAACAATCCCTGAATCCCACTTTAAAGAGCGACCGAAACTTTTACTACTTCAAAGAACGGCATGCATCCGAAAGGAGCTTCTCGATGTAATCACTAAGAAACAAAACTTGCAAAAAATGGTCAACACAAACAGGCTCGATAATTACTAATCATTCAGCAACACTTGGGCACAAGCTTGGGCACGATAGCTTACAAAGTTAAGGGTGCCATCTATGGGATCCACAATCCATGTCCATTCAGAGTCTTTCAAACCGCTTCTCAGCCTTTCAAACTCCTGATCTGTAAAAGTTTCCTCGCCAAGGTAGAAATGATTTGGAAATTTCTCCTACACCCACATTGTTCGCATAAGGACATTTCTCAAACCACCTGATAAAGTATTTCTAACTAAGGGCACAACACTAGGATCCAGATAAAGAGTATGTATCATCCAGAAAAAATTAATTTACCCTAGAGAAGTAAATTAGCTCCACAGAAATTAAGACACATTGGTTTATCCCGAGATTCAGCAAACAAAATTACAACAATACTAAGACTCAAGTATTTTCATTTAATTAGACGGAACTAATTCGCATGCTTCGTACCTGCACTTGAGTCCGCAAGAAGTCCTCGCAGGCCTTGTCGACTTCGGTAACAAGATCAAAACGCGACTCTTTCGTGTCAACCTGTAAGCCACAGAGAGAGGGAAAGCCGTCCCACAATGGACATTCCACACATAAACCGTCTGCAGTCCAGCAAGGCCTGCACCAAAGCGCCTCCCTCCCTCTCTCTTACTCCATGATTCCTCAACTAGCCCAGATGATTGCACCAATTGACTAGCGAATTAACAGTCACCAGTTCTTTGGATCGGATGCGTGGTAATTCAATAGCCAGACTTATATTGCACATAAATCAATCTGACTACCCTTTTCATTCAAATTTCCAACAAGGGCTCACTACACATGCACAGTGCTCTGTTATCCTCTAACCATGTTCTAGTAATTTATAAGTCAGAAAAGCAAGAAGACGAGCAGGAGTTTCTGAATTTCAAACCTGTAACGCAAGTCCAGACTTGTCCTTGATCATCGTACCTGCCTGCAATTCATTCAGTAATTAAAGAAATGGCCGTACAGTGCATACTGTCGAGCCTGACCTCGTCTGGAGACGTCACGAAGATATAGATTCTTGGAATACCGAGTTAAAATCCAAACATAAACTTTAGATTCAATTAGCACTAAGTAAATTCACATATTCTTCGATGTCACAGAGGCAATTCCAAATTGGTTCATCACCAGAAATTACGAGATGCACGACTCTTGCCACAATCTCCATTACAGTTTTCAAAGCCTCTTCATTCTTACAAGCTAAGTTACAGGCTTTCATTAAAAGGGAAAAAAAAAAAATTGAAACAGAGAACCAGAAGTACACTACAATGCAGGCAATATTCACAAATCGTTCTCACAAGCCAGGGGCTCTCTATGGCATACCATTCATATCCAACACCAGATTCTAACAAGCAATACAGGTCAAAAATCATTCCACTAACCACTATCATCCAGTCACAAAAATAGACACACGGAAACAGGATTCAGCTGTGAGCAATTCCTGAAAACGAAACCCATTGCAAATTGCAACATAAATTCAGTTCTTTCGACACATTAATTCAAAAAGCATCGAAAAGGAGAAAGTGAAAAAATGAGTAGATAACTGGATTCAATTCGCCAAAGTACCTTCAATGCAAGGTCCATAGCCAGAGATTCGATGGCATTGCCTTCATCCTGCACGCTCAAGCTCCGCACGCAAAGTCTCCTGATGGAATGCGTCTGGGAATTCCAAAGTGCCGCATGCCTGAGCTTGGGGCCACGCAGCGGCTGGAGCAGCGAGGTGGAGGGACTCCAATTGGAGAAAACCCTAAGAATGGACGCAGCCATGACCACCCGTGCCCCGCAATGCAACTCAATCACCAGCAGTAGTTACCGAAGCAGCAACAACAACAACGGTTCCGCGACCCCAGATTCACCAGTTAGCGACGAAGTCTGTTCGGATCACACCTCTTGCAACGTCGATGACAACAGTTCCACCTGGAATCAGCAGCTTCTGGTCTCACCCTCTTGGTCTTTCCTTTCTAAATCTGCTCCCACTCTTTTGTGCGCGGTTAGGCTTAAATTTCCCCATTTTTATTCATTACGAAATGAGAGATGAGTATGTTCATGTGTGTATGAATATACAGAAGAGAGGTTAGATATAACACAAAGAGACAAAGAAGTGTTTTTTTTTTAATTGACTGTGAAGAAGGGAACGTGAAGAATGAAGGGAATCAATGAATATGAGAATGAGGGAGCATGGATGAACAAGGAAATAGATGGATGTGCCACAGATTGTAATGCTCCATGGCATGGGTTTTTGCTAGTTTATAATATGTGTGGACATATATATATATATATATATATATATATTTTTTGACTAATTGATAGATAAGAAAGCTTAGGCATAAGATAAAGAGACAAATAAGCCTTCTAATTAGGAGAAATCAAAGAAATTGTTATTTAACAGAGAGCCATGTACAACTTGCAAAATGGCCTTTTAGTTTATTACCTATAAACAAATTCTTTTTGCTAGTATATATATGTGTGTATATATGTATATATTCTCACATTTTCAAGCACATTACTTTGGATTGAGAATAATTTGTTAATTTATATATATATATATATATATATATATGTGTGTGTGTGTGTGTGTGTGTGTGTTTATAATTTATTATTTAAATTTTTAAATGGTATCAGTTTCAATTTATTTTTTTTATAGTAAATTTAATATTTTAAAAAATTAAAATTTTAAAAAATTAAAATTTTAAAAATAAAAATTATATATTTTTGTTAAACTATTTGATTTTTTCTATTGAATATTATTTACTTATCTATATAATGTTATTTAAAAAATACACATATATTATTTATAAATAATAATTTAATTCATGTATATATATTTTTTAATTTATAATTTATATGAATTTTAGATTTGTAAACAAACGGTATTTATGTTCCACATTACAAAATCATTTCAAATGCATTATATTTATGTAATGTAAAAATACTATTGTACTTATAGTATTTTTTAAGTGAATAAAGTACTTAATTGTGAGTTGTGATGCAATAAAAGTTTAGTTGACCTGTATACTTCAAATCACTAATTTAACTCTTTTGAGATCTAATTTGTAGCCACCCACATCTATATTATAAGACATCTAATATTATTTATGATGTGGATTTCTTCTATTCTAGAATTGTTGTGCCATGATCTTTTTACAAAAATCAACTTAGGACTTGGCCTAAGAGACCACAAATAAATAAATAAGTTGTACTTATCTTTGACTTGCAATTTTGTAAAAAATATGTATAATTTAAAACTCAACTAACTTGCTCACAAATTTTTTAATAATAGGGAGTTTCAATCTTGTTGCAACTTGTAGTTTGAAGGAACTAAGTTCTAAATTTTTAATTAAAGATAATATTTAGAATCCTAATTAAGTATAAAAATCATTTGTATTTTTTATTTTTTTTATTTAGAACTCTTAGATTATTATGACTTTGAGTAGGTTTTTGTAAGTTTGTTAAAAGTATTGACAGTGTATCATCAAAAATGAGCACCAAAATTTCTATACTTTATATTTAGATATTATTTTATACACAAATATAAAATAAAATCTATATGAGAATCTGTCACGGACATATATATTTACCTCAATAGTTATTCTCATAATATTCTTGAAATCTTCCAATCTATGATAGTTTGAACCTTCTTGGAATCCATCATAAGGCCTTCATTGGAAATGATTTACCCTAAAAATTCAACTTGAGTAGTGTGGAATACACACTTTTCCATCTTGGCATATAATCTTGCATCTCTAAATTTCTGTAACACATGACGAATATAAAACTCATGTTCTTCTATGTTTTTAGAGTAGATTAGAATGTCGTCTAAATAGCAAACAACAAAATTATCTAAAAATTCACAAAAAATATCATTCATAAGATGTTGAAAAGCAGTCCATGCATTTGTGAGTCCAAAAGACATGACATTATATTCAAAATGTCCATACCTAGTTTGAAAAGCACTCTTCTATTCATCTCCTTCTTTGATACGAACTAAGTTGTATGTTCTTCATAGATCTATTTTGGTATAGATCTTTGCTTGATTGAGTTGGTTAAGAAGTCCTGAAATCAAAGGCAAAGGATATCTATTTTTGATGGTAATCTTGTTGAGTCCTCGATAATCCATACACATTCGCAGAGATCCATCTTTCTTCTTCACAAATAAGATAAGAGCCCCAGCTAGAGATTTAGTATGGTGTATGAAGTTCTTTGCTAAATTCATCAATGTATTCCTTTAATGCAGCTATTTCATTCTGTGATAAGCTATAGATTGGTCCAAATGGTGGTTGAGCTCATTCTTGCAGATCAATTGAATAATCATAAGGTCAATGTTTGGGGAGAATATCTGCATTCTTCTTTTCAAAAACGTCTTGGAATTCTTGATATTTCTTAGGAATATTACTCGATATTGTTTCACTATTAGAAATGGGTGTAGCATATATAGCAAAAGATGATCCTTCTTCTACAACATGTATAAAAGCTTTTGCACCTACTAGTAAAGGTTTGGACATACTAAACTTATGTACTTCTATTTTTATATTCTCGAACTTTTCATAGAGCTCCATACACTAATCCTGGCTATTTTTCCTATCTCCGCCAAAAAATTCAAACAATTCGGCCGCACGTAGACAGCTTTCATTCCTACAATGGCGCCAATCGTGGCTCAGTGCGGCGCCGAAGAGTTGCTATATTGCTTTGTGCTTCGATTAGACTTCCAATCCTCGCAAACACAGAGAATTCCATTGAGGTCTAAAACGACGTTCAGCCACTTGTCAACCGCCCTGGACCTCAATGGACGACCAAGGTCTTCCAACGGCCCCTCACTACGAACTGGAGGATCGGATACCTGCTAAGACAAACGGCCCACGAAGGAGCCAATTATGCCTTTCACTAACTACAAATGACCGCGACGATCCCGAAATGCACCATACAATTACATGCCATAGACAAAGAAGCGCACCGTGGAAGACACACATACCAGAGGAGCCTAGAACACGGGATAATGAAACACACCTTTTGCTTTGAAGAGGTGAATGATTCGGACCGACTGTCAGAGATCACGGTCCGCGACTCAGGCAACGACTTGGCAGAAACAACGAATGCCACCGAGGTGGGATAAAACAACGGAGAGGGAGAAGCAGAAGGAGTTGACAAAGTTGCAAGGATTTCATCACCTGTGATTCAATGTAGAAGCAAATGAGCCCCTCAAGTATTTGAAACTCATCGACTGAGTAAAAATGTACAAAATTCATATCAAAAGTATTGAGCTCCCTGGTTGGTTCAATTAGGAACTCCGTATCAAAAACAATTTGCCTATTCAACTATACTCTAGACGCACTAGCCAATAACACAAAACACCTCGAGTCGAGCTAAAAAAAATTGACAGCGAGTGATTATGTGTCAAAACTTGCATTTGGATCCGAAAAGGCTAATTGATCACTGCCAACCGCTATCTCTAGAGTATCGTCCTCTAGATTTGTGGGGCGCTCCATGGAATGTGATTCTACTGACGCTGCCTCCACTCTGGAAACTTCATCGAATGAAAAATTGATTGCCGGAGACGTCGGACTGTGTTGTTGAGATGTAGTAGGAGCCACTTCGCCCGAGACATTGACAGCACTTGAATGCGGAAGATTGGCGGCTTCCGCATGTCCACTACTGGATCCGCTCATGACAGATCGAGATGGCGCATTCCCAAGCATCAGCGACGGAGGCTGGGAAGGAGGGGCAGGAAGGGCGTCTGGCAGTTGGGGATTAAGCCTCACGAATGCAGAGAGGAGAAGATTTGTCTGCTGCTGCTGCTGCAGCATCATGCGGGATGTGTCTTCGTGCATCCTCCGGGACTCCTCGAACAATCTCATGCTCTCGGCACGATCACGATCTTGTCGAGCGTTGATTTCTGCAATCTGCTGCTCGTGCCTCTGCTGACTGTCTGCCAGAATCGCCAAAATGGACTCCATGACGGTAGCCACAGAGTCCATGTCCTTCCTCTTCCGCCCCCCAGAAGATGACGCACCAGGAGTTCCACCGGAAGGTGGATTATCAGATGCTTGTGTTGACTGCGGAATAACCCGAGATCGCCGCTCAGGTAGTGTGGCGTTGGGCTGAATGGGATCCAACTCTTGAAGGTCGTCGTCGTCGATTTTGACCTTCTCGTCGACTTCCTTCTCCTCGTCTGGGTCATAGTCGTGGTCGTCCCCTTTGTCGTCGTCTTCATCAGATATAACGAGGACGTCATCAACTGGTGTTGTCCTCCGCTTCTTTGATGGAGAAGACTCGAAGCGGTCACTGAGCCGTGCTCCAACTCTTGACCGTGTGGGCGTGGTGGCCATAGACTTGTATATCGCACTCACCTTGTATCCATTGGGAAGGAAGTCATCTCTGTCGAGAGTGAGTGCTTTCCTAGAGATCTCTTCCCACCGATCCGACTCTCCGGTCCCTCCGACCGCAAAGACATCCACGGAACTCATCTGCATGAAATGGCACGCGGACAGCTTAGTGGATATGAAAAAAAGAAATGAATGTGATTGAGAAGCAAATCAGATCGACTCGAGCTGATTTAAAAGAAAACCAACTCGACTCGAGTTGATTGAGAAGCAAATCAGCTCGACTAGAGCTGATTCAGAAGAAAATCAGCTTGACTCCAGCTGATTCAGAAGCAAATCAACTCGACTCGAGCTCATTGAGAAGAAAATCAGCTCGACTCAAGCTGATTGAAAAGCAAATCAGATCCACTCGAGCTCATTGAGAAGCAAATCAGCTCGACTCGAGCTGATTGAGTACCTACTATTGCCGCGCAAGTGATCTTGCCTCCCCCCCATAGTGAAAAAATGGACCCCCCTGGACGGCAGAACTTC